AAGGACTACACATGTAAAAATTAAAAAAAAAAACATATTTCCCATTTCATGCCTCATTTTAACTTGAAAATTTATAGGTTTTTCCTTTCGAATTAACGCGCTTCACTAAGAAGATTATCACGGACAACTACAAAAATTTTTTTGTTGAAAACCCGTCGGGCTCAAATATGAATATCACATAAAATTTGTGGGTTAACACATAAAAAATGGAATAGTCCCTATTTTATGTTCCAATCCTCATTTGAACTGGATAAGAAAACCTAAGTTTGTCCCTCCAAACCAGCATATCATTAAGTAGGTCGTCATGGATATTATAAAAAATTCGGCCAATAATCGTCGGGTGCACATGTCACTCAAAATCTATGTACTATAACATATGAAGAATAGAAAAACCTTTATTTTTCATTTTGGACCTCGTTTGAACTTGTAAAAACCTACGTTAGCTCTGCATAACCAACGCTCGCCCCCATTAAATAGGTTGTCAGGGACGCCCATGAACAATCTCGACCAAAAACCACCAGTCACACATATCACACAAATCCATGAACTATACACAGGAAAAATGAGAAAAATCTCTATTTCTCATTCCTAACCTCGTTTGAACTTAAAAGTACCGATGTTTTTCCCTTTGAACAAATGCACACCATTTAATAGGTCGTCAAAGACACCCACAAAAAATTTCGACTAAAAACCCGTATCACGCAAAATTTATGGACTATAAGTCTATAAAACACCATGTATCCAACAACTAGAAAATATACCCGACAATATAGGAATATATCCCATGCAACATAATCTTAAGTAATGTATCGTTTGTAATGTATTTGATCACAAAGGAATATTCGTAATTATAGAAACTTTTGAGATAGGATGTAATTTGCATGTACGAGTGATTTGCCCTAATTATAATGGAAACATTGTATATGTAAGATTAAAATGAAAGGTTAAAATCATCATATGGTTCATATCATATACACCACCAAAATGACAAAAGTTACAATTTATTGCCAAGTTCAAATGTTTATTTGTGTTTTTGTATTAACTCGTACTACTGCAGTCCGCAGTACCTTCTCTATTTACATTTGATTACATCTTTTGTTTCAAGGTTGTGATATTTATTTACATTCATCATTGTAATGTTGTTGCTTTAATTCTCAACTCAGGAACATATAAGTGAAATAGGATGTTATATTAACTTGTAATTTGTATTTAAATGTTCATATTGTTAAATGATCAGCTTTTGGTATTCTGGGCCATAGCAACTTATCTAAATAATAACAGATAGTATTAAATAAATAGTATTAAATAATATTAGTATTTACTGTGTACTAATTCTAATCCTATTAGGATTAATACTCCTTAATCCTAGTCCTATTAGGATTAGTACTCCTTCCTATATCTCTCATGTATTCCCTTATTAGGTTAACACTTCAATACAATCAATATTCCTTCATGGTATCAAGAGCCAGAAAACCTAGATCTTCTTTTCTCTAGGTTTTTCTCTCTCTTTAGGGCACCGATCGTTCCCTCTCTTCTCTTGGGCGGCGGCAGCCATGAAAACCGAGGTGGATCCTCTCGATTCACTTCCTTCTGGCGTTAAACTCCTTCTCAGGCATCTTCATGCCATGATTCCCGAAAAATTATCAGACATAAATTACCCTACATGGAAAATCACCGTTCTTACAGCCCTTGAAGCCAATTACCTTCTCAAATACGTCGATGGAAGCACAGAACCGCCGCCGGCAGTCATCACCGCCACGGACAAATCAGAAAAAACCAATCCGGCCCATGCCACCTGGAAAGCAGTGGATGGCCAGATCCGATCATGTTTGATTGCGGTCATCTCTCCCATGGTTCAGAAACACGTCCGATCCTACACAACTGCTTCAGCCCTGTGGACGGCCCTCGTGACACGCTATGCATCAATTTTCCACTCTCATATTTTTCAATTGCGTGATCGTCTCCACACAATTACCAAAGGCACGGAAACTATGGCGGAGTATTTAGACGAGGTCTCCACCATCATCACAACCCTCGACACCGTGAACAAAATCATTCCCGAAAGAGTTATCATTATGTGCGTCGTTCGGGGGCTCCCATTAGCTTACTCCTTAATTAAACAGGCGGTTCGCATCAGTCCAACGCCCGTTGACCTGGCTACTCTCTCCTCGTGGCTAAAAAGTGAAGAAATCAACGTGGATCTGGAGAGCAAACTTCTTCTCCGAGAAGCCGCTGTTATGGAGCCGGCCACCGCCCTCACCGCAAGCCAGAACTATCGCGGGGGGCGTGGTGGCGGTCGGCAGGGGAGTCGCGGCGACTACGGTAGAAACAGCGTAGGTCGCGGGCGCAGCGGTCGACAGGGCAGTCGTCCGCTGTATGACGGTCAACAGCACAGCAACAACAACAGCCTGCACTCTTTCGGCAGCGGCGGGCAGTCATCTTCCAGCGGCGGGCAGTCATCTTCCAACGGTGGGCAGGGCACTTACTAGTGGGATCGTCCAACTTGTCAAATTTGTCGAAAATGAGTTTCCCTACGAGTCTATTTCCTCCTCCACAAATACATCATTCATTGGCGTCCTTCCCCTTTTTCCAACATACTCACAGGGTCCCTCACCACCTTCCCCCACATCTCCACCCACTACCCAACCACCCCTCATCACCCCTTCGACCGTCACCCACAATACACCCGCAACCACCACCCACACTCACAACCAACCCGAACCACCCCATACCCACAACATCTCCAGCCCGATCCGTTTTGGGTCCTTCCCGGCCACCCCCGAATCACCACCGCCCGTGCTACCCCCCAATACTCATCCCATGTTAACCCGTGACAAAGCCGGTATCTTTAAACCCAAAACCTTTTAGGTTACCATACTACCAAATACACCCCTTCCCGATAGTTAACCAACAACCTACTCTGTTGCCTCAAAAAATGCTTATTGGCGTCATGCTATGGATGACGAGTTTAAGGCTTCGACTGATCAGAAAACTTGGGTTCTTGTACCTAAGCCCCATGGGCGGCACCCAATGGGCTGTAAATGGGTGTACAAAATTAAACACAATGCAGATGACAGTATTTCCAGGTACAAGGCTCGTTTGGTTGCTAAAGGCTACAATCAGGAGTATGGGCTTGATTACTCCGAGACATTCAATCCTGTTATTCGGCAGGAAACCATTCGCATGGTACTGTCACTCGTCGTGCGCAACAATTGGCTCATCAATCAGTTGGATGTTTCTAATGTTTTTCTTCATGGCATGCTTGATGAAACTATCTACATGACGCAACCACCGGGCTATGTTGATCCCCGCTTCCCTCAACATGTTTGCAAACTCCAGAAGTCTCTTTATGGGCTCAAGCAAGCCCCCGGTGCTTGATACACACGTCTGAAAACGTTCCTCCAGGGACTCGGCTTCACGTGTTGCGTACACGACACGAGTTTGTTTACTCGACATTCAGCACACGGTACAGACATTCTTCTTGTCTATGTAGATGATATCATTATTACAGGCTCTACTGCAGCTCTCATTGAGGATGTCACTCGAGCTATGCATACTACCTTCAAAATGAAGGACCTTGACCCGTTACATTATTTTCTGGGAATGGAGGTTTCTTGGACAGGCAGCGGCTTGTTTCTTCATCAGTCAAAATATGCTCGAGATCTGTTACAGAAAGCTGGACTAGAAAAATGCACCAGTCAACCAACACCGATGGCAGTCTCTTCGTCTACGAATAGAGCCGACACCCCTTTTGCCGATATCACCCACTTCCGCAGCCTCATTGGGGCTCTACAGTATCTGGCCATTACCCGTCCTGACATCCAGTTTGCTGTCAACCGAGTTGCTCAGCACATGCATCAACCAAGTGAACATGATTACCATTGTCTAAAACGCATTCTCAGGTACATTTTTGGCACTCTTGGTCGTGGTTTACTCATTCGACCCGAGGACTTGGAGCTTCGGGGGTTCTCAGATTCAGATTGGGCGAATGATAAAAATGACAGAAAATCTACATCGAGGTTTCTCGTTTTTTTGGGGACGAACCTGATCTCCTGGTGTACAAAAAAACAACCCAAGGTCTCTCAGTCCTCGACTGAAACTGAATACCGCGCCCTTGCTCTTCTCGCTACTGAGACCATGTGGGTCACATATATTCTTCGCGAACTCCGCGCCACTCACATTGTTCCTGCTCTCTATTGTGACAACAAATCAACCATCTGTGTGGCTAAGAATTCTGTCTTACACACCAGAATGAAGCATGTTGATACCGATTGTCTCTTTGTTCGCGATGAAGTTTAGGCCGGTACCATGACTGTGCAGTATGTACCCGCTGAAGAACAACCGGCTGATATTCTCATCAAGCCTCTCCCGAGCCGACAGCACGATTACCTCAGTTCCAAGCTTCTGTTTAGCTCAGCTTGAGGGGGGATAATAACAGATAGTATTAAATAAATAGTATTAAATAATATTAGTATTTACTGTGTACTAATCCTAGTCCTATAAGGATTAGTACTCCTTAATCCTAAAACTATTAGGATTAGTACTCCTTCCTATATCTCCTATATATATCTCCCATGTATTTCCTTATTAGGTTAACACTTCAATACAATCAATATTCCTTCACTAAAGAATGTAAATATGCCGTCAGTGGTGCACCCAAGGCCCAAGGGTATGACTCAGTGATCAATGAATTGTGAGTTAAAGAATCACGAGGTCTCAGGTTCGAGTTGAATTGTTTGTTGTTCTGTTCTCTTTGGATTTGTAAATTTGTTGTGATTTTCAGACTGCATATTTTATTGCTGACTATTTTATCTGATTAAATTAACTATGTTATCATCGAAGTCAATTTGCCAGCCATATGAAAAATGTTTATTTAATTTAGCAGAGACTGATTGTATTTGGCTGCTTGTGCAAACTGTTTTTTTTTTTTTGTTGTTGAGAATCCAATGCCCCAAAAATTGTCATTATATAGTTAAATTGATGTGGTAATGGTCCGAAAAATGGCGAGGCGAGGCGAGGCGATTGCTGAATGCTTGTCTGAATTGCAATCTGAATCTCATGAAAATCAGCAGAAAGCTCTGCTAACTTTGGTTTCCATCACAAAGGTGAGTCCTCAAAATCGAAACTTGTTAGCGCAAACAAAGGGTGTTGTTTCTACCTTGCTCAGCTTATCGATGTCTCCATCATCAACTACTATTCAACTTCTCGCGCTCTCAGTTCTATTCAATCTCTCACTCAATCCTAATCTCAAGCAAACTCTAGCAGACATGGAGAAAATCCTGTTTCTCAATTCGGTGATCCTGTCTTCGACTTCAGCTGAACCAAGTAGGATAGCAGCTTCACTTCTATGTAGTTTGGCAATGTTAGATAAGAACAAGGCAAAATTTGGCGTGGCTGGAACGGTTGAGGCTCTCGTTAAGGTCATATCGAGGCCACGAGGCCCTGCTTCTCATCATTTCCTGAGTACATTAGCTGAATTGGTGCAGTTTCATGGGAATTGCACAGTGGCTGTTCGATCAGGGGCAGTTCCGGTGCTGATCAAGTTGGTGGAAGATTCTGATTGCCAGGATCTTGCTGGAACATCATTGGCGATACTATGCTTGCTTGCGAGGTTTGAAGAGGGACTCACTGCCTTGAAAGAGATGGATAAAATCGTGGCATTACTAATCGAAATTTTGAAGGGGAAGTGTACGTTGAGTAAAGAGGGAGCTGCTGATATTCTACTCCGTTTATTCGATGAAAGTGAGGGATGCATACGAGATGCTTTGAGGCTGCCTGAGTTTTCATCTGTGCTAGCTGATCTCTCGGTTCGAGGGTCTGTGATAGCCCGAGAGAAGGCTAGTTTACTCATGAAGAAACTAATGGAAGCTAACATGGATGTTGTTTATGGTGATACTGGCAACAAAACAGCTGCATATTTGCAATGGATTTAAATTTGATGGATTCAATATTTATGTCAATGAATACTTAGTATTCATTGACATATCGATGGTTTTTCATATACATATTTACCCTCCGTGGAAAAAAATGTTGGGTTCAGACGAATTCGTTGGAATCGAAGGAATCAATTAACCAAATAAAAGAAGCAGGATACTCTTCTAGCAAGTTTCTTAGCTTGCATTTTGAAATATGTTTTTGCATGTTGGATGTATTTCTTATGTCCTTGTACACTTTGTCCTTCAATCAAGCAATTCATGGATGATTCATGCAAGCAATAGTGATACAATCAATTTGATAAATATAACTAATACACCAAAAACCATGATATTAGCAATACAAAAATTTTAAATGCATATATTACCATGGTTAAATATATTAATGCCCTTCAATAGTTCCACCATATTTTGCAGATGGAGTTTTTATAAACAAATACTCCCTTCCTTTCAAAAAGAATGAACTCCTTTACTTTTTTTAGTATGTTTCAAAAAGAATGATCTCTTTCGTTTTTTGGTAACATTTTAAATCAGTTTTCCACGTGACCATGTTTAAGGCCACAAGATCAAAGGTCAATTTTGTAATCTAACTTTAATTTAGGATCACAAGATACAAAAGTCTTTTTTATACTTTTAAACTCCGTATTGAGTCAAACCAGATCATTCTTTGTGAAACGGAGGGAGTAATTTTTATTTTTTTTAGAAATGAGGTGATGTATATTATTTTTGATAATATATTTATTCTGATCAAAGGTTTTGTTCTTCAAATAGATTTGATTTGTATTTTTATTTTTAACAATTGAATATATGCTTATTTGGACATAAGTTCTTTAAAAATTAAATTCATATCAAAATATAACTTATGAGATATAATATACAAAAATATAAACTTGTATTTAAAGAAAAAAATAAAGACTAGTATAAAATAGAAAACGATTTACACATATAGCCCTTTTGAGGACCAAATGAAGTTCATAAAATCAAACCAAGTTGAATGATGAATTAAAGAATTGACCCTTTCTTTTATTTGGTTTGATTTGATCTTTAATTTTATGATACATATTAATCGGTTAGAGCTTGTCTTTATAGTACTTCAATCATTTGCCTAATTGCCTTTAATTTTTACTTTGATTTATAAATTCTATAGTAATGTTTAGAATCATGTTGAAAGTAACTTGTTTTTTGAGTCTTTTAATAATTCATCATTACTAATTCACTATCTTAAAGCTATCATAGTATATTACAAATCTTTCTTAAAGAGTAGTTCACATGATAGTGTTACTCACTCATTCACACACGCACTCTCTCTCTCTATATATATAGTGTCTGTGTTATGTATATGTATGTATATAACATGTATAATATATGTATCTTTTATTAGATGATTGAATGGTTAAAATCAGTAATTATTTCAAAGCCTTTTACATCTAAATAGATGAACTACACTTAGTAGTCAGTCTCACCATGTTATTTAAGCTGGAGTCCATCTATTTACATATGTTTGTCCAATTTTTTTTAAAAAAAAAATCTTTGAAAAAGAATATCTTATTTTCTTTTTTCAACTCTTTAGTTCCAACTTCCACATGCATTGTTTAATACCACAATAGTTGACATTTGACATATATTTAATTAAATATTACAAGATTTAATGAAAATATTTATATCAAATCAAAATAAAATAAACAAATTGTGACTAAAGGAACATCAAATTTAGTTTAAATTATATTTAACTTTTTCTCTTTTTGATGACAAGAGAAACCCACAACCACCACTTCAAAACAGAGCTCTTCACATGGGTCATCTATTTTATGATAGGGTGATTTAGAAATTCTTTGGCTAACATATGGGCCTTGCTTAGAGAAGAAAAGACATAATCAAGTTCAATATTCATTGGGCCGTCTAGACTATCAGATATGACCATTGTCATTTGTGTCATTCACATGAATGTCCCTATTTTGGGTGTACTTAATTTTGTCCACAAATTTATGGTTTTCAATTTTTGTCCTTTAAGTCTCAACAAAAAAAGTGATCGAAAATGAATAACTATATATATATATATATATACACACACATTTGCATCATAATATAACACAAAGTATGTGCTTAATTCCTAACAGCATAAGTTCAGTTCGGAATTCACACATTATGTCTTAAAAGTTATAACTTAGTTTCACAGAACTTTTGTCGATAGAGACATGAGTTTAGTTTCAAAACCCATAAAGTTATACCACAAAAAAGGCATCTAATTACTACAAAACTTATGTTGAACAAGACAAAGTTCTCTAAACTTATGCAGAGCGTATGAAACACTAAAGAATTTATGCCATAATATTTAATTTCCAGACAAGGCGAAAGTTCTCTTAATTTATACCTTGCTAAATTAGGTCATATATAAGAATACTTTGACACACAAATTTCATTAAATGAGCAACAAAGACAAAAATTACAAATCACCATATTTGAGGGGGGGAAAAAAATTAAAGACCACCTATTTTAGGGTAAGCTATGCAAAAAATACTACCATTTAGCTAGTCCCAAGCTCTATATATTACCTTCTTTCTCTTTGTTTTCGGAATGTAGACAAAAATTGGAATGTAGAATAAGTACTCAATGAAGGGATATACATATATGTACTATACATGTAATGTATAATAGTGCACAAGGATGCAAATGTAATGTATAATAGTGTATATACACTTTTAAATGTCATACTATTATGGATTTTTAAAAAGAAAAAAATAAGAAAGAGAAAATTGAAGAGGACTCTATAAATAGTTCAGAGAAGATAGTAAAAATATAACATTAAAATATATTTGACTTCATGAAATTTAATGTAAACATATGTTAGGTTATCCTTATTGGACTATACTCATTATAAACTGTTTATTTGAACATTACATGTGGGGGTATAAGTATCCCAAAAGATAGCCCCATGGGATGGGGTGAAGAAAGAAAGTAATAAATAGCAAAAAAAGGAATCAAAAGATTTGTATACATGAAATTTAAGTATGAGCTCTTTTAAGTCATTTCAAACTTTTAATTGGGTCCAACCAAGTAGAGCACTTAGCCATTGTCAACGTGGCCATATAAAAAGATTAAAAGTGTCTTGAAGCATCAAAGAAAGATTGAAGAGGAAAGACTATACAAAAGGGGATTAAAGGCAATCTTTTGCTTGCACTAAGAATTGGATAAAAGTTAGGTTATTTTAGCTATCATTGACCATCACAGTGCCTTATTAAAATTCACAAAAAGCTTTCACTTAAATTCAATGAATTTTGACCATATTTTTCATGGAGTTATGGCCCCATAGTATAAGGTGACATGATCAAAGGTTCAATTTTTCTCTAAGTTAATTTCAAAAGGGAACTAGAGGACTTACTCCATCATTTGTCTTTAGAATCATAGTGGTATAATTTGCACAAATGATAGACTGAAAACCATGCTTGTCATTTCCAAGGTCCACTTGTTTGTTTATAATTCGAAACTAACACTAACGGATGCTAATAATATTAGAAGAGTATACATTAGTTAATTAATAAATCCTCATATCTCAAAGCAAAAATGATAAATGATGATTTCATTGGTCCACCACATATGTTTAAGGCCTCATTTGTGTGCACTTAACAAAGGTATGAATCTTTGAATTCACCCCATTAAGTACGTTTGGTTTTTAGGTCTAAATTAATCTGAATCATTCAGATTTGAAGCTATCAATATGAGCTAATTCACCCCATCTGAGCTAACCCATACAGGTTTTGACATTTTACGGGTCAAGCCGGGCTAGCCCACTTTTTGTGTGGGCAAGAAAACGGTCAGCCCAACCCACAAGTACATGCACTATGGGCTTGCCAGGCCAGCCACTTTTAAAAAAATTATATATTTTTTTTATAATTATTAATTAATGTATAAAATTATAATTTAAAAATATGATCATGAATATCGACAAATCAATATTACATGATGTTAATGTTACTACTTGTTTATCAAACTTACAAATAAAATTATCTTATAATATTTATTAAGTTTTTTTTTTTAAGTAAAAGTATAAATATCTAAATAGAAACATTAATCTAATCGTTTTGAGTTTGGACTCTCTTCAATTTTAAATTTTAATATTACATTATATTTTTTTGTTAAATTTTATTGGCCCACGGGCCGGCTTAGCTATTTTTCAAACCCCACAAATCAGCAGGATTATTCAGGCCGGGCTAAAAAGCTCTTTTTTTAAATGGGCTCCAAAAATCTCAACTCAACCCTATTAAATCTCGGGTAATGCTAGGCCGGTCCAACGGGCCTAGCCTATATTGATGATTCTATTCAGATTCCACCGATTAAGTTTGTTTGTTTTCTTTTTTAAAAAACTTTTTAATAAGTTTAAAGAGGTCTGAACGAATCAGATCTGTAGACTCTTAACAATATTCAAACTCATTCAATAAGTTATCAAATAATATAAATCATCGCTTCTCTACTTTGAGCGTGCCTTTTTATCTCATAACTAAAAACTTTCTTTCTCTCTTTTCTCAATCAAACGTCATTTTCTCCTCTTGAATTGGTAAGTTCTCATAAATCCTTTCAAGCATTTGTTTTATATTAATAATTTTCTTGTATTGACGTGTGTCAAGAACACTGGTTGCAATAATGTTTTTTGGTGTATTGTTGTTTATCAAGGTTTTTGAATGAAAAAATAGTACTTTAAATCATGAATATTAAAACTTTTAAAACTTTTTTTTTAATCAAAAGTAATATATTTTGTTGAAATAAATTTTTTATAATATTTTATTAATATAATGTTCAATTATACATGCAGATTCAGATGTTGAATACAAACAATATTAATTATTTAGTGTTCAGATTTAAAGACCACTTATTAATATTCATGTGTATTCATATCAAAACACATAGATCTTAATATAATCTTAATATTTAAATGTGTATTCGGATTCAAACCTCTTAATCTTAATGGAAACAAATGAGGCCTAAGTAATACACTAGTTCGGAGA